TGATTGAATCAACAAATAAACACTCTTTCCGTTAGATTTCATAAATTCCCTAAAAATTTTAATAATATTTACCGGAAAGCAATTTTCGAAGTAAAGCAGCTCTTGATCTACCTCTAGTTTGCCGATCCAAGTTCGAAAACGCACCGTCGTCGTGATCTCCTCGTATGTTGTCCAAATTTTCAACGTGCATTGATGCTGCTCAGTTATATATGACTGTATAGTAACTTGAAAAACCGCCACATCGTCCTCCTCCAACTGTGTGCATAGCTTAAACTTTGCGCTCTCCAATTTCAGTGTAGCATTGCGCAATGCGCGCAGTGAGGCTGGCCGCAAGCAACCTCGAAATGAAGTATGAAAATATACGCCTTGAGGCGATTGAAAATTCCAAGTGTTTAGTTTGACAGGCAAAGGATTGCGGTTGCGTAACACAATGTAACCATTGTGCGATGTCTCTGCCAATGGTATGGCACCCAAATTCAAATCCACACTATAAGGTGCATCGTTTTGTAAACGCGCCGTATCGTAGGTGGAGACATGTAAACGGCCACCGCAAACTATCAGCGGCACCAGGATGTGCGTAATGTTCGTGCGTATGAGTAAGTTGCTTTTGTACACCATGCTTGAGTTGAGCATCTGTAGTTGCAACAAAGCCAAAGAACCGCCACTTGGCAACACCAAAAGGTCCCTTGCGCTGCCGTCTAAGACGTCCAGATAATCTCTACTAAGTTGTGCGCGTAAAGCTCCACTATCGGTTTCTTGCTGCGGTAAGCTTACATTTAGCAGTGCTATGGGCGTTTCAAAGTCGTTTCGCACCACCAAGGTACGTTTATTGCCTCCGCGGTTACCCAACGTAGCTTGTGTTACGAAAGTAGTTGAGTTACCATCATAGTGTAGCGACCCTTTAAACACTTCGGCACGTATAAGAACCGTGAATTCGTGCGGAGTGTTAGTGGCGTTTTCTTGCAAGGGAGTACGCGGTGCACTGCGCAACACCATCACCTCATCTAGTATAGTTGTGCTATCGAAGAGATGTGACTCCAGTACTACAACACCATTTTTGAGATCAAAAGTTAGTCCTGGCATTTGCCGCAGTGTATAATCGATTAAAACGTGCTGTTGGCGCATGTGCGAATTGTGAAGCTGTAACTTCATTTGCGATGGTTTCACGCTACTACCTAGTGATGCGGCTGTTGACAACCGACCGAAATTAATAACTGGATTATCTGCGTACAGTCCGTGCAAGGGTAAAATCTCAATTTCGACAGGTATTACGAGCACATTTCCACTATTGCTCGCTGAATCACTAGTACCTTCACCAATCTGTTCTGAAATTTTGATGCGTATATAAGCCGTGTGGTTACCGACGGTGCGTGCATGGAATCGTATTCGAATAATAGATTTCGTTTCATACGGCGGTATCTCCCATAAAGTTTGTGGGCCTTCTTGTCCGCCACTCGGTAATTCTAATTGGAACTGACCACCACTGCTGTAAACCTATAGGGACATTGAACAATAATAATAAATAGCAATAAACCAACGGCTTGTTTACATACCTCTAGTATTTGAAGTGGCTTGCTATGTGGATTGTACATTTGGATCTCAGGCGTGAGCGTTGCGTTAAGCGGTGCTTTGATCCCCACTAACGGTTTCAGCCGATACGGGCAATCTCGTCCTTCGCCGCGTACCTGCAAACGTGCTTGCCCAAAGGACGTATGAATTAGTAGATCCGTAGCGACGCTACCATGAACGCGCGGCAGAAAAACAACATTAAAGGTAGTATTTCCTTGCGGCGGTACTACTTTTGCTTCGAAAAAGCTCGAATAAAAGGTAGGTGTACGTCCCGACACCGAAGTTAAATATACGCTACGATTTGCATTCTGATTTACCAACGTCACCGTATGTGCACGAGCCGTTCCCACTGGGCATGCCTCGCCGAAATCGAGGAGAGGAGGTTCGAAACGTAGACTACGTTGCAATTCATCACTAGTTGTGTCCGCTGCAGGCGCTAATGACGCAAAGGCATTGGTTTGAGCCGCTGCTGCATGTAATGACTTTTCAGCAGTAGTACTGCCACTAATATCGCCGGCTACTCGACTGAGCAGCAGCGTGAGCACCAACAAAAATGACGATGGTCCTGACATTTTCACGCAACAGGATGAACCACGGATGTCTTCCTTCGCTATGCGTATCTTTTTAGCCGGTTGCGGCTGTTTGGTGTGCACAATGGCCTCCGGCCTCCGAATGTCCTTCTTCTTCCTTTTTTGCTGCTTGATTGCCTTTGGTTTGACGTCCAATTGGTTACAACGTTCGAGTCTTTAGATTTACGGATACTTTTCTTATATTATAATTATAACCGTCTTTATTATATTATTGTAACTACTAAATTGAACCTCCTCTGGCAAATCTTTTCACATTATTTTAGTTTTATTTGAGATATTTTTTCGCCTTAAAACACTACACTATCAGCCAGTCGTCTGTAAAAGTGCAAAAAATAATAATCAGCATATAGAGTGAATGTCACGGAAAGCGAAATTACCGAAAAATACGAAGCAAGGCACAAAACAAAAAAGCGATAAACAGAACAATGAATGATGAATGTCAGAACTGGGATAGATCAAAAACTTCCACTGGAATGCACTACCGGACGTCACTGGAATGCACTACCGGAAGTATAGGGTGATAAACACTGGTTTCACCCTGTTGCACGCGAGGGGGGTGAAAAACCAGAGAACGACATGGGGGTGTGAAAAACCAGAGAGAGAATTTTAGGTAAAATTTCGCAATATTGGTTTTTGAAAAAATTGTAAGTCAAGGACTTATACAACCCCGATAAGATCCTCGAATTTCGTCCTTCTAACTTTAACAGTTTAAAAAATTACCTATTCGTCCTTGTTAATCCAAAAAAATTTTATTTTTTTTCTTGCATTTGGAACCCATATTTTTATTCTACATTGCATTGAATTTTAAAAATAATTTTTGGAATTAAACATATCTTTGAAATTACAAAGTCCTTTAAAATAAATCCGGACGCCAGAGAAAAAAATAAAAACGCCACTTTAAATAAAAAGGTAAGTATCAAACCCATTTATTCATTATTTATTTTATGGCAGGAGAGCTTCTCAAACAATATAGAAGCAATTTTTTCGATTTAAGTTGTTGAAAAATAATGAATATCTAAATCCCGGGAGCCCGGTATTGTGAAACCAATATCCCGAAAATTCCGGGATAGAAAAAAGCTGAAAAATTAACATCCCTAGTTCAAGTAAATAAAAAAAATCTGTACTACTGAGTATTTTTATTGCGCGTTATCTAAAATTTTAGGATTCCAGTACATTTTGTTGGGAAACGAATTCAGCTTTTATAAAAAAAACTCCAAAGTTTTCACCATTATTTAATATTTATGTCTATATAAGTACAAATGACTACAAAAAAATAATGCGACTAAATCTCTAATATGTATTCTTCCATGGCCATAAAAAGGATGGCCCTTTCAATATTCCGCAAGAAATTGCCAGTTATATGAAGTGTGATACCAAAGCTTTAAATATTTTCCAAATCGTACTGCTAGATGTCCTTAAATAATTTACTCCGATTTGGCATGTTCCTCGCTGGTACGCTCCGCTTTATGTTCTTGCTTTTCATTCTGGACTCGTTGCAATAGTTGTGCTCTCTTTAGCTTAACCATTAACTGAAAGGAGTTGTACATCCAAGTGCCCTAGGAAAGTTCCAAATCGATTACCAGTTATAGTTTGTTGAGAATACTTTATCCTTCTTCCTCACAATTATAAGCATACAATTCAGCAAAATCGGCATTGAAAAGACTGTCGATATAAAAAGTCCATTGCTATCAAAGTACTGCTGTTTGGAGAAACTTTGCCATCTCGCCGCCGCATACTCATTTATGTTCTCTGTGCAGTAGGCTGCTGATACTACAAGTGGAAAAGAAATTGAAGAGTCTAACCGTGAAAAACGCAAAGCGGTTGCGAAAACAATTACAGAGTATTAAGAATAGAACTACTTGGAAATTGCTGCTATTCCTTGTCATCAAAGTGGTCACCGTAATCAATACATGTAATAGCATCAGACCAATCAGNTGCGCACAACCACTCCATACGGCCTGTGTTCGGAGGCTGCATAAAACTCTAGGTCCATGCACTTGTGGGCCTTATCTCGAGTTTCGGCCGAAAAAATTCACATGAAATTCACATGAAAATTTCTCATCCGCCCATAGTAAAACCATGGAAACCAATAGTGAAAAGTGAACCGGTTCGTGGAAAATGAAACTCATGACCATAGTGGAATGTGTATGTATATTCAGCCTTATCATGAGTTTAATTTTCCTCGAACCGGTTCACTTTTCACGTTTGATTCATGAACCAAAAAGACAAGATCACGCGGGCTGGAGACTAGCCCGTTATAATCGCATTTATGAAAAAAGTTGAGCGACTTTGACATTAGCCGTTTATTTACATTTCTTCGTTGTTTACAATTTGTTGGCGGCTTTTTACTGCAATTTTCTTCATTTTCACTTGTGACAACGTGTGTACACATAAGATAAAGAATAATTTAACACAACGGCATGATTTATAGAAGAATTTGCATAATAAAAATGATTTTTCATGCGTTCAACAATTTCGCGGTTTTCTCCGTTCTCTTCGTTGTTTACTTCTTACAACAAAGATGGCGTCGAGATTTCGGCAGCTAGAAAATAACTTTTTTCGTTTTTTCCTTACCGCGTGATCTTGTGTCTTTCGTTCATGGTTTGGTTTACATGATTTTACTATGGGCGGATGACAAATTTTCGGGTGAATTTTGTTTCAGGCGAAACTCAGGATAAGGCAGATTATTACATTATGCTCATGACAAGGCTGATTATATTATTATTATGGTAAAGCTTTTTATTCCACATATAAGTAATTTAAACAAAGTTAAGGTAAAACTGATAAGTACCGAAGTACTCAATGCGAAGTTACCCACAAGAAATAGATTAAACATGTGCATACATACTATGTATATTTGTCTTTTTTCATTAATTTATTATGCAAATACTCTTAAAGCGTACACAGATTGCGCTTATTGCAATAAGCGCGCTTTGCTACAAAGTTAATATAGATTTGTGGAAGCCTTATACTAGTAAATTTTATAAAAATTAAAACCTGATATTAGTATATCTAACAAATAAATTAACATACAACAAATATGTAGAGATATTAAATAAATAAGCAATTAAGAGGCATATTTTTAGAATACCTACTGGGTAATACAGAGCAAAGCAAATAAGAATTTCATACATATTTTATAAGGCATTTTTTTTTAGCAGCAAACATCTGCTATACTAATAAAATTTTCCTGGTTACTGAGGCATTTTATTTACTGGCTTTTGAATAAAGGCACTTTACATTCAAAGCATTTACAGGCGAACTATTTTATATTTACTGGACACCGTGCCATGAGCAAAAAAAAATGTTTTTTAATATTTTTTGGTTTATTGCTGCATGTCATAATCTGTGATAATAACTAAAACAAGCGGTCTCTCGCCGTCAGCATCTCCATTAGAACGAATATGATCGGCCATATCTGCTGGTATTGCAGTAGCTACTGTAGTTGCATCCAGCGCAAGAACAGTTGCATTTGTCGTTGTTTGATTGTTGTTATGCGACTCAGACTCAACGCTAACACCAGCGCTGGAGCTCATAGAATTTGTTGAATGAGTCGATAAACTGTCACCAGTCAGTGGTGGCGTTTCCATGAACAATTCAATGGGCATATGCTGCTCAATCACATTGATTATGCTATTATTTAGTTGTAAATCTGATAAATCTGGTTCAGTTTCCTCTTCCTGTTGCTTACGATGTAGGGTGGCACTTGGTATTTTCGTTTGATTAGTGTTTGGAGAATGCTGGTGTTGATCGTTTCCAAGAGAACCATGGCCATTTTCAGTTTTTATATCAACAACTTTAGAATTAAGATTACATTCCATTATTATTCCACTCCTTTGCCTAAAAGCTAATTCGCGTGTATTATCCCTTATTTCACTTTGCTCTAGTTTACGCATGCCTACAACTGAATCCTCATGTTATTTGCCAGACAACATTGGCTGATCAGATAACATAGAAATTGTGCAACCAGAGCTAATGTGATCCATCACTTGCTCCTTGAGCTGTGCCACATGATCTTTCAAGCTTTTAACTACTGCACCCAATTCAGAGTTCTCGCCCTTTAGAATTTTTACTTTATCTTCCAATTTTGAAATGCGTTCGAGCTTACGTTTTCGGCACTTTGATGCTGCTACACGATTACGTTGTCGCTTACGCTCTAATTTGATTTTTTCTTGTGTTTCCATATCAATAGGACTGAGTGCTGCCGGTGATGCCGGATTTTGTGGTTCGTCCTTGATGGCAACCGGGAAAGTTTCTGTGGAAGTTTAAACACAAATAGATAAGGTTATGATGGGATATGTTTAATTAAAAACAATCATTCACCTAAATTGGTATAGGTGAACGACCCGCCACTAATGCCAGTGCCAACAACTGGCGCGGTGGACGTATTTGTTGTTATTGCCGTAACCTCAACGTTGCTATTGCTGCTGTTTATTATCTGTGCGGCTTGCGACTTCTTGCTTTGATGTAAGTTACTCAAGGCCTCTTCGAATCCTTTGACGTAATCTTCTTGTTCAGAAGTTACCTAAATTGTAAATAATAGTTTAATAGCTGCTGGTTTGAAAATAGTTAAGTTTGATTAAAATTGTACTTACCGTACTCGTTTTGCTTGGAAATATAACACCAGGCTGCGGAGTCGGCATCACATTGCTTAGAAGCATTTTCTCGATATCTGGTGTATTAATTGTTTTTAAATTCTCCAAATTGGGCGAATCTATGTGGAGTGGCGAAGGTGCCACTAAACGTTGCTTTTTTGCCGCCACTTTGTTAAGATCTAACGATACAGGTCGTTTATTTGCACTTCCAGTGGTGTTGCTGCTACTGGTTGCAGCCGCGTTGGGCGTTTGAAAGGTCAAATTCAGATCGCTTGATTCCGTTTTGGGTATAATGGCGACTGATGGCGCGGAGCTGCCTACCGATGTTGCTGTGTTGGTAGTTGTGGTAACACTGATAGTTGTTTTCATAGTAAATTTCTTAATCCGCGTAAAAGCCTTTGAGCACAATGATGACGTCACTACCGTAAAGCAACAGTGCTTTCAGCTATTTTTGATTTTATTTTTCTTTGTCAACACGAAATATGGCAGGGGCCTTGGAGCTGTTGCTGCTGCAAGTTGATTTTTTGTTTTCGCTCCGTTCGCTGTGCACTGCGATTTTATCTTGGATGACTCACCAGCAGTACAAGTTTGCTATCGCAGTATTCCCCGCCTTCGCTTATCTAAAAACTATTGGAATGCTATCGTTTGCTTATCGGAGAGGGTGTACGCTTCCTTATTTATAGTTTTTGATGTTTTTTGGAAAAAAACTTTAATACAAATATGCAAGATCTGGTTTATATACAACTTTTCGTTGTTTTCAATGGGTTTTTACCGATTACTTTTTCAGCGTTTTCCACTGCGCCTTTATTGACGCAGCCAATTTGCGCACCTAAACAGGCCACTGACACGTTATTTCCAATAATTTATTTGATCAAAATCACAGAACGTGGCTTACGATTACTCAGTTGAGTTTTAAGAATGTTAAATATATGTTTTAATAACTTTTATACCAAATAAAAAACTGACGAAAATCTACACGAGCTAGTCCAATTGAGGAATTTCACGAATTTATTAGAGATGCAAAAGTCTTTCTCTGACTTTAGACAAACATCGACTTTTTAGAATCGACTTCAGTCACCTCAGAATGACTAGAATCGACTCTCACTCGATGACTTTTCGACTTTCGTTTACTAACTTGGGGTTTACATAGGACAATTTTACGAAGCCAATAGCAATAAAGGCAACTTTTTACTAATCCAAGAAGTACCGCGGCGAAAATCTAAATTCGCCATCAATACCACCTTGTACAAATTAGCCTTGGCAGCAGCGGTAGTACAAAAACAAAAGGTAATTCTCTAGGGTGGGGTAACAACCCCTAAAAAAGGTGCGGAAAAGTCGGGAGGGGTACCAAACGACGCGTTTCGGCCCCCCTAATAACAATCCGGAGGGGGGAACTAATATTATTAACCATTTAAGAGTTATGAACAAAAAACTTTTGTTAAATTTCGTTGTTTTCTATGGGCAATTACACCGACAAAGATTCACTAAATCACCTGTTCTCACTTTTTAAACACTATTAAAATATATAATTTAACTTATTTATTAAAGAAACACATAGTTTTATCAACCTAAGATAGATTATTTTGTTATTAAAAAGAAGTTGACAATCTTTGCGAGCTGAAACGCGAGATTCCAAAATAGCTATAGTGCTGCCACTGTATTAGTATTTCGTAATAATTCACTTTTCCTTATGAGATGTGTGCACTGTTCAATGCTTTTCGGTATCTTCTTTCGTTTAATATATATATAAATAATGAAAATTTTTAATAAAAAATCGCGCGATTTTTTATTAAAAATTTTCGCCTGCGGCGCTTTTTCCATAAAAATCAATACTTCGATAAACAACGAAAATTTTTAATAAAAAATCGCGCGATGGTACAGCGAAATTTGCTATTATATTTTGGTTACAATATCTTATTTAGATGAAAGTAAAAAGAAGAAGAAGAAGCAGAAGAGGAAGAAGTGTATAGTGTATAGTGTATAGTGTAAACTGAGTATAATAGCGCAAATGAAATGTGAAATAAAGTGGCAATACCAGCGATTTGAGGTTATAATAATTTTAGCAGGCGCAAAGTTTGTTTACTCTGTTTTATTAACGAAATATATAAAATAAAAGTGAATAAATGATTTGGTTTGCATAAAATAATAACCGGAAACGTTTTAGTAGTGTTTTAAAACTGGAAACTGGTGATTTAGTGCATTTTTGACTTGGTAATTGCTCATAGAAAACAACGAAATTTAACAAAAGTTTTTTGTTCATAACTTTTTAATTGTTATTAGGGGGGCCGAAACGCGTCGTTTGGTACCCCTCCCGACTTTTCCGCACCTTTTTTAGGGGTTGTTACCCCACCCTAGAGAATTACCAAACAAAAACTACATTTGTGTTGACAGGGTTGCATTGGGTTGTTTTTTTGGGGAAAGTTGACAAAATAAGTACTTGAACCCGTTCGACTAGCTTAAAATTGGGGTGGGGTTTAGTACCGCTCACAACTATTTCGGGCTATTCCGTCCAAATGGGTGGTCCGATCCAAAAAAAATTTCACACACTTGTAGTCAAGGGTCCACGCAATATTTTAACACTCACTTTTGTAAATTTTGGTTACTAATTTATTTACAAATTGGGTTTGAAATATGCCCTTTTTTGTAAAATTCGGAAATTAGCGTACATTTATCACTCCTATTCTGCTTAAATTAGCCACTTCACCAATATATTTTTGTATTCCCCTTCACTTTACACTTTACTTGATTTGTTATAACTTGCTTTACGACTTTAATATTAACCAATTCATCACAATTCATTAAATAAAAACACCTTCAAAATCACGCGCCTGACTTTGGTTGCATATGCAAATTAAATGGCGGAGTTCAGCTGTCAAACTCCAAAATATGCAAAAGAATGAGAGACAAAAGAAGATAGGATATAACCCAGTAAGCATTAAAAATATACAAAGGTGTTCTCTGCAAAAGGTGTTCAGCTCCTTTTCTTCGCAAAACAGAAAGGGGAATTCTACTGCCTGAGGGTTATAATACCTAAGTGCGGCCGAAGGCCGCCTACGCAGAAAGGTGTTCTCTGCAAAAGGTGTTCCGAAAAGGTTCGCCCCCCTTCTTTGGCAACACAGAAAGGAGAATTCTACTGCCTGAGAGTTATAATCCCTAAGTGCGGCCGAAGGCCGCCTACGCAGAAAGGTGTTCTCTGCAAAAGGTGGTTCAGCCCCCCTTCTTTGGCAACACAGAAAGGAGAATTCTACTGCCTGAGGGTTATAATACCAGCGAGTACGAGGGTGTCGAAGGTTCACGTCTAACACGAAGGTCCGCCCGGGTATACCAGTGGCAGGCGCTTACTAAGGAATTCTACGCAAAAATGCATTTGTTAAAAAGAACATTTTTTGGGGGGGGGGGGCGCCCCCTCTCCCTCCGCCCCCACCCTAAAAACGGTGTGAGCGCTACTACACATTTCCCTAAAATTGCACAAACGTGATTAAAAATTCTTCATAGTTACCATTTAATTTTTTTCTTGATTCTACGGTTTGATTCTGGATTATAAAAATTTTAATTTTACATATTAGCTGCATCTTTAATATCTATAGCTGCCATACCTAAACAAAAGCGTTGGATGGAGCGTTTTCTTACGACTAACGTTAACGACGAAGTGTCATACTTAAAAAAAAGCTGCACATCGCAACGGCCTGTAAAAATCGGATTTTGCAACCGCTGAACGTTGCCGCCGTGTTATTTGTTATTTGGGCATGATAATTTTTTTTGACAGCCAAACAACGCTGACGGTTTTGTTTAGGTATGCCTGTTACAGCCGAATCTAATACAAACGCATGTCGTTTTTGTACACTCTTCGTCTAATTTATTTTTCTGCGTCACCCGAAAAAGGCTTGCGTGCGATTGCACTTGATTTGACTGAGCGAAATGTTAAATAAAAAGCGCACGCAGAATAAAAATTGGAAATTTCGTTAGCTTTTTACGCACGCCGTTTAATTTTGGTAGGTACTATACAATTTGTATGAGCATTATAAATTTTTGACAGAAAATTGCCGAAATGCGTGAATATTAAGATGCATTTACATGAGATGATTTATTGACAGGCGATAATCGCCTGCAGAAGTTGACCTGCTGTCTACTTTGAGGCAGCGATTTTTGAATGAGCAATGCTGAATCGGCAAAAAGATCGGCCAATGTTAATGCAGCTTTAGCTTGGCCGGTTTGCTTCTGTTACGTTGGTCCTATTAAAAGCATCCCTGCATTAATGCGAATTTATACAAGGTGGTAGCAATAATACAAAAACAACAATCCCATGTATATTGTACTGTGTATTCTACTGTACTAGTGTAGAGACAAAAATATCAAATCAGCTGTTCTAGTAACACCACTTTGTATAGATGCGCCTTGCTTGGACTTACAAATTCCTAAAGTCGTTAACCAAGAATTTCTCAATTATAAGTAAACAAAGCCGAAAAGGAGGACAAAAGAAAATGCCAGAAATTCCATGTGGAAATGAATTTAAATATTAAATTTTTAACGTAATGATACGATTATTTTTTAATTCCAAACTTTGTCATTAAAATTTTTTCTATTTAATTCGAAGTGGAAATCCAGCAAAGGGCTTCACTTCATCAATTCATTTAGTGTCAGTTGGTTTGCTTTATTGTATTCGCCCAAAATCATGAGGGCGATTACAGCGCCAAAAAGGAGTACACCTAGGAAAATTTCTCAGTGGAATACAGACCCATAAGTCTGATCTCATTCCTCTTAAAGACGCTGGAAAAATTTCGTGGCACTCACATCACATTCCCTGTCGCCAGAAACCTTAATTTACAGGTAGATTCTCTACTATAGGGGAATGCAATTACAAAACATTTGGGTACAGCTCAATTGGGCCGAGAAGCGCAGGCAGAGAAGATTATAAGACAACATGCTTTAATTGCGAACGAAGGTTTTGTATAACGATTGAGGAGGAGGAAGGATGGCACAAGGGGATTATACTTAGCGGCAGATGTCTTAACATTTTTGCAGAGGTTTCTAACATGCCAACTGGAGTGGCTGCCGAAATATATTGCCGGAACCGACGTCTGGCGGGCAGTAAGGTTACATGACCGTTGAAACACAAGCAAAGGTTTCCCCTATGAGGATAGCCACAGAGCTAGCCTAAACCTAAAGAACAAACAACTCCAAAGTAAAGTTATACGTAGACAGTCAGGCAGCAATTAAAGTAATTACCCCATAAAGTATTTCATCCAAAAACGTCCTTCGCAGCCGGGTAGCCATTGACAGGCTAGCCACATAGGAATAGAGGGTAATGACTGAAGAATAGCCAAACTACATTCATAGACCACTCCAACACTTGTATGTCGAAATTGACGGAAATAAACCTTGATTTTGATTTGGCAGGCGCTGGTCAGATTTGCTTTCTTTATTCTTGCGTTCGACAAGAAAACCTATCGCGGCGCTAGACACAATGGTAACGCTCGCTCTAAGCAGGCACTGTTCAGTGATTCTGGGCAGCTTACGTCTAATGAACTGTCGAATTACTAATCAGAATTCCCATATAGTCCCTAATATAAAATGTAAGACTGGATCTTTTCTGTAGAGATGATTTAGGTTTGGAAAACATACATAGCCCCCTGATAGTTTACCATTGTATCGCAGTAGCTTGCCGGAGTTCGTCTTAGTGCTGATAAGGAAATAATTGTCAGGAATATCTTGCCAGCACCAGGACCAGTTGTCCGAGCCAAGGTGTTGAGCGTTAGAGCCAGTCCAGGGAATTAAGATGGATTACTTTTACCAAAATAATCTTTCCAGCTGCAGAAAGGATAATCTCTGATGAGTTCACGTACATAAGCTCAGGCCAGTCTAACTTCTTGTACCGAAAGTTCAGCTTCGTAGAAAATATTCAGTGCCCTGATAGCTTGTCATGGTGGTATAGAGAAAACTCTATCGGAAAAAACTTACCAGCAACAGCCATGGTTACTCCTGGTGGGATTTTGTAGGGCATAGTCATAGATAATGGATAGAT